GAGAGAGAGAGGGAGGGAGGGAGAGAGGGAGGGAGGGAGGGAGGGAGGAGAGAGGGAGAGAGGGAGAGGAGGAGAGAGGGAGAGGAGAGAGGGAGAGGGAGAGAGGGAGAGAGGGGAGAGAGGAGAGAGAGAGAGAGAGGAGAGAGAGAGAGAGAGAGAGAGAGAGAGAGAGAGAGAGAGAGAGAAGAGAGAGAGAGAGCGAGAGAGAGAGAGAGAGAGAGTGCGTGTGCGTATATATATAAAAATAGTTATTTCAACAGGAAATGTGTTTTTTTCCAGAAAACGTGGACGTCACAGCCAGCTCACACATGTAGGGATTGCAAGGCAAGCACAGCGTACCTCAGCTTCCTGACGATTACTACTGACGGCATTCGTGTCATATACCTTCTCCCGGGAAAGTTTGCAAGAGCAGGGATATGCAGATATTGGCAAATCTAATCGTTTTGCTGGGGCATGTGTTAAGCCAAATGGACGAAGCATTTTCAGGAACTGCGCGCCAAAGGGGTACATTTCTTTCTTTTTTTATTTGTTTTCTCTTTAATGTCAGTATTTTTTGACAATCCTTTTTTTTCATAAGAAGAAATAAGTTGCCTCCCAAGCTGACTCTAATAAGTTGCCTTAATCAGGCAAGACCGATTGATCAATTTGACAATGTCCATGGCTGAAATTAAATCTTACACAAAATACGAAGTGTGCAAATAAAGATGTGTGAGATACATTATTTTTATAAAGACATTAAAGCAAATCATGAGACGTTTAATACACAAGTATTTTTTGGAAATAGAGGTAATATTTCCAACAATGTTGTTCACTAAGTTTTGGTCTAATGTTTGCCAAAAATGAGACAATTTCCACTTAACAATTTATAATCATGTACTAACACAGTTTATTTGTTTACTCAAGTCTCATCTGCAACTACATTTGCACAACAAGTAACAATTTTGCAGGCAATTGTTTCCAGGATGCTTTTTGTTGGAATCTAGATAAAGGTGGTGAAATACATTAAATATCGGGAATGTTAACTAACTGCAAACTGAATACTATAACTTAGAAAGAGTATGGAAATATATAGAATATGTCTCTGAAGATCATTATATTGTTTTCAGATCGTGCTTGCGCATATACAGTGTCAAACTATTATTTCAGTTCACTGGTTATTGAGTGTTTTTATTTTCTTTTTGTGTATTCTTTAGAATATTCACTGGTCAATGGTCGTATAGCACTATTATAATAATTGTGGATTGTGGCGAAATAGTAAAATTAGTTAACGATTAGTATTAAATTTGCTAGATGTCAAAGGTTTTAGTTTTGTAGGATGGAATAGTAGTGAAAAAGGTAACAAGGGGAGAGCAAATGGAGGACGGCGGGATTTAAAAGGAGTTAAGGATATACGGCGATTAGATCAAATGAAGAGTATCTGTGTCTGAGGGTGGAAGAGTAACATTGTATGAGTAAAACTGCAAAAAAAAGGCCATAATGAAACAATCAACGGGTAATGTGGGGTAAAAATAGCAGTTGGATAAGCAGGAGAACACACAGAATGAGATAAGGGAACAGGGGAAAGCGGTAAAGTATCAGGAAGACTGTCAGGAGAAGGATTCGTAGGAGGATAATGTTGTGACGTATGGGAGTCACGTGAGCATCCAAGTGGGAATGGTAATAAGAAGAGGGAATCGTGGTGCACATAGAGAAGGTGAGGACAGGGTGTTTTGGGGGAGAGTGGGAAGAGGGGTAGGGGGAACTTGAGGATTGATATCGGCATACTTTGAAGGAATGTTTTCTCTTGGGTCATGTTTAAGAAGCTTTGATGTCTTCAAGAATTCCTGGAGGGGAGGTGTGAGAAACAAAGTTTCTGTGAGGAGAAGAGGGAGAAGTGGGTGAAGATGGGGTGGAACGTTTGGATTGCCTGGTGCGAGAGGTAGAGTGAAAAGGTGGAGGGAGAGGTATCTGGGAAGTGGTAGAGATTGGAGTGTCTGAATTTAAACTGAGAAAGGAAATTGAATGAGAGAGAGTGGGAGTACATATGATGGTTCAGGGTAGAGAAATACGGGGAAGTTGCTAGGACATCTTGAGATGGGAAGGGAGCGGAGCAAAGTAGTTTTGGAATAGGTATAGAGTCGTCGGTGTGCTTTGTCTGGCCTCACGTAAAGGGAGTCCTAGCGTTACCTCACATTCGAGCTTGTAGGCAGGCTCCTATGAAATACATTATGGGAGCCACCACGATTACCACAAGTACAGTAGAGCTATTTGAACGGCTTTGACCAGATTGGACACATTAAGGACAGCGGGCTGTGGAGCAAGTGTTTGGCTGCGTAGCCAAAACACCAACATTTGCCAATGACGGGTAAGGGGTCGATATGGTCAGACAGGACAAGACACTTCACTAATATAAACTTCATGGGGGTGGTCATATCTATGGAAGATAATCTTGGTAATATTGGTGTAGGACTTAAGCTGTCCTTTGGGAGGAAAAGTGTAGCACTGTATTGCCTCTGCATCATAGTCGAGGAGGAAGGTGAGCACGTCTTCTTCACAGTCTGACCAGTCCTTATTGTGCGAAGGACACAGTCGGGGAGACGAAAACAGTTCTGGCAACGTATTAAGTGAGGAGTGAGGTTCTGCATGAAGAGGTTTCACAGGGAAGTCAGTCAGGGTAGATAGTGCACGACCTTAGGATAGAGAAGTAATTGTGACAAGGTGAGAACTATCCGAACGACTGCGAAAGGAAACTGCTTTCATGTTTTTGGAGACATTGTTGGGAAGAGAAGGGTATTGTCAGAGTATGGGGCTGTAGAGGGAATCACAAAGAAGCGACCCCACTTGGCCAGGGCAAAAAGAGTACACAAAAGGTTTGCAGAGATGGAAGCAGGGTTGTGTGGAGTGAGGCAGTACTGTGGTAGAGGACAATAAGGATGAAAAATGGTAATGAGGGAGGGAGGGGTAGACAATGAAGAAGACTGTGCAGTTAGAGTTGGAGGGAATGATGTTGGGAAAGAGGAAGGGGTGTATTCTGAAGGCTGAGTAATGACCTTGGATGGAGTAGACAGCAAACATCAAGAAGGTATTAGTATCAGTGGTTGGACCATGGTCAAAGGAGAGGCAGGGGTCAGGAAAAGAACTCAAAATAAGATAGGGTTGTTGAAGGGGTAAGCCTTAATGCACCTAATAAGGGTAAAGAATCTTGATTATTGACCATGGCAAGCCTGAATAAAATAGGGGAAAAGAAAAGGTCTACCCCTCGGGGTGCCCATAGGAGGGCTTGGCGATTAACCAAGGCAATACCGTGCCAATGGCTCCCTGAGGCCATTCAGGACTGACACAAAGCCAGCCTTTCATCCTTTCAGCAATGCTCTCACACATTAGAAAGTGGACAGAAGGGAATGAAGAAAAGAAGGAAAAGGAAAGGGGGAGAAAAAAACAAGTAAAATTAGTTGAGGTGATGGCTGAAATCCAAGGTTGGGGTGATCCTTTGTATTGGACCTCAGTCTGTCTCCTAAGACTCCCCACAACAAGCAAGGGATTGGGGGAGTATTAAAACATATTCAATATTCAAGATGTAATAATTCTCATACAAAGGAATAACTGTTTATTTACATTACTAAAACTTCATAACAATTTCATTAGCAATACATGTTATAAATACTTTGCTTCCTTACATAAAAATAAAACAGGACAAAAAGGCCAAAAAAATATATAATGATTTTTTCCCTCTAACACCATATGCTCCCTGAAATCAAAAAACATTTCTCTGGAAGGAAATTTTGTGCACATTCAACAAGTTTTATATCAAGCAAGGGGCATACAAGTACATTAATAACAGTATAAGAGCAGATGGATTATCTTAAAATTCAAAGTACTTTTATGCAGCATACAAAAAGAGTAGACTATTTGTTTAGCATGGATTATTCACCAGAAAAAAAATACTATTTGCTATACAACCTTTTAAAATGGTTTAGTGTAATCCTAATCACATGAATATTAAGATGTCTGCAAAATAGAAAAACCATGCTCAATAACTTTACCCTTAAAATGCTCCATACAAATAATATTTTACATTACTTTTGTATATGCTCATACCATACATTCTTTATGATACAGGCATTCAAATGTTTAAAAGGGGACTTGCTGTCAACAAACAACAGCACAGAACCCCACGCAATGTCTTTTCTCCATTTTGGTTTGGTTTGCTATGCTTATTTCCATTTAAACATTAGTTTGTGATATTTGATTTTGAATGAACAGTTTTCCTCTGTATCAAAAGAAGTTTAGAGAACCTGTTTTTCATTAAAAAAAAAAAAGAATTTCACACATTACAATATGCCTTCGGAAACATCATCTCAGAAATTACATCAAGCTAATTTCTATTTGGTGAATGTCAGTTATCAATGGCATTTTCTTTGATGCTACAAAGTATAAAGATATCTGGAAGAAATCTTAGATTAAGATTACATCAATTCTCAAAAAAGATACTACCTGCAATTTTTCTACTGAAAGTACTGGATCACATATAATAAGTCATAATTCTACCTACATCACTTGTGTCAAAAGCCTTATAAATTTTAAATACAGTACTCCCTCAATATCACAGAATACAAGCAAAATCACAAAAAAATACAACTTTAATGTCTTAGCATTACCAAAATAGCATATGGCACTATATATCCATCAATATCCCAAGAAGCTGTTGATTAATCCAGTGAAGAATCCCACTTCACCCAAAGCCCAAGACTTGGCAGACCATTCAACAAAACAAGTCTTTCATTACCTCATAATTTTGAATCCATAGCATGGTTATTTATCTATGGTTCTTCGAAAAGGTTCAAGAGCAAACTTTCATGATGCATTTCTTTAATAATAATAATATGCAAAATTATTGCAATCAATCTTAAAATGTAAGCCCTTTTTACACACAACACCATATTACGCCTATCAAAATTATGATTAGGAAAAGCACAAATTCATACTTCACACCTAATGGCCTTTGTAGCTTGCGCCATTATACAAGATGTTCTTAAACATCCAAAGAACACTCATCACAATCCCCAACCAATTAACACAAATTCCATTCCAATGAATTATTTTCCAACCTTATCCTACATGAAAGCCTTTAGTTACTTTTATACAGGGAACACTGATTGGCATCATTTATTCACATAACTAAAACAAATTATATAAACAATAACAAAAAATATATAAATAATGTAAGGTAACCTTTAAAAACTATATTTGATTACATATTAAAATTATTCCTTTGGTATGTTCTTCACATAAAACGTATTTTAAAAATATGCCTGAAATACTTTAAAACATGCTGTAATCATAATCATTAAAGAATTAATGTAGGGATTTCAGGCTAAGACAACATTATTCAAAATGTCTTTTATTCAATTGTTAATGTCTACTGTTTTTCTCTTTACCCACACTTATTAACCTTTTAGTGGCAGGCCTCTCATATATTCCTTTGCACCTTTAATATCTGCTATACTCTTCAAATAGATGAAATGTATACAATATCACTAAAGACACTACACAGCAATTTGACTCACATTATATGGAAATACTTGAAAAGAGGAAAAAAATGCATCTCCTGATGATACTTTTAAAGGTGCAACAGAATCATGTGATGCAAACCATCACAGTTATTTTATAAGGCCTCAGCATATATATTACTCAGATGATGATGAATATGCAATACTTAAATTATATATCAAAAAGTCTAAGGTTTATGTAAATCATGAAATAATATCATGTAAATGGTCCTAATCCACACACACCAGTGATCACTAAAAATCTTAAGAAAAATATGTGCCAAACAAGACATTTACATTTGACTCTATTAAGAAAAGTTACAGAGTTATTGAAAGTCTCACACATACCACATGGAAGAAATGGAACCTCTCACATTTCACAACATAACCTTGATTGAAGAGTTGTATACAATGAGTTTAATTCAAAATATGTGCAAGACGAGGTCTGGAATTACACTAGGAAGGACATCCAATCACAGATACTGCATGTGATTAATACATTGGCACCTTGAGTGTCTGTGGTTGGGGTGAAGGACATCTGCCCTGCACAGCTCTGGCCATGATGAGATATTGTGTTCTCTAAACTGGATTTCACCTGAAAATATACATAAAAAACTGTTAGGTACCAACCATACTCACTTCCTGTGATTAAGATACATATACAAGCTTCTAGATTAGTGGTTCCCAAATTTTTGCAGGCTTGCACCCTCTTGAATTCTAAGCGGATTCCTAGAGCAGCCTGCCCCCCACATACTTACATACAAACACACCTTTTTTATTTCAGTATGCTTCAAATTGAAAATAACATGATTAAACAAAGAGATGTATTTCACAAATAAAATCTAATATAGTGAACCTTCCCAAATTTTTGCAGGCTTGCACCCTCTTGAATTCTAAGTCATCCCGCCGCCCCCACATACTTACATACAAACACACCTTTTTTATTTCAGTATGCTTCAAATTGAAAATAACATGATTAAAAAAAGAGATGTATTTCACAAATAAAATCTAATATAGTGAACCTTCCCAAATTTTTGCAGGCTTGCACCCTCTTGAATTCTAAGTGGATTCCTAGAGCAGCCCGCCCCCCACATACTTACATACAAACACACCTTTTTTATTTCAGTATGCTTCAAATTGAAAATAACATGATTAAACAAAGAGATGTATTTCACAAATAAAATCTAATTTAGTGAACCAATTCATTTAATTTCAGCTGTGTCTGCAATATGGAAGGGTAACTCAACATCTCCCCAGTAACCATAGTAACATAGTTCACTGTCTTGACAATTGATAATGGAATGGATATGCTTGGTGCAGAGCTATTTGCTTCCTTGTTTCTCTGCTTGGGAAGAAGCAAGGAGACTGCACTTAAGCCCAGTTCTAACAAATATGATGTTGGGAAGGCAATGAAATACACTGCATATATGTTTCTTTACCTCAATGTTAATGACATTCTGTCATTCAGATTTTGTAAAAAATAAAAAGTAATTTATCAACTGCTTCTAATACCATCCTGTCTACTCCTTTATCTCACCACCATCTCAGATCTTTCCACCTCACCCCCAGCCCAAGACGGGTGATACCACCCACACAATGTTCTAAATCAATATGAAAAAATTGTAAATAAAAGCTGTACATTCTAAGAATAAAAATAATGATAATAATACAAATTTATTAACTTATGAATAATAATGAATAATTCAGTAATGAAAAGTAGAATTACCAGTGTATTTATTCAAATAAAAGGGAAAATCAACATCAGTTTGTACTACATAATCTGAAGCAATACTATACACTAAATTATATAGCCCTTTTTATTTCACTCCCATCAAATCTCTTGCTGCCCAATCATTTGTGACATGTTATTCCAGGGCCTTGTTGAGCGATCTACAAACAAAACAATTCAAATGAAAAACCTCTTAGCTCTACAAATACTTGTAATACAAGCTGCAACTCGTTCATTATTACCTTCAGTTTAGTGGTCTGTATCCAATTTCTCCTCTAATATATAACCTTACTTTTAAAAAATACTCTTCAACCTATGCATGAATCCAACATATGGCTTTAATTCACAGTCCAGGCAAAAAATAGGTGTGCATGCCTTAGTATAATATACTCATAAAAAAGACAAAAATAATCCATAACAATGAGGACGCTTACGTGAATTGTTATAACACTAAGTTCAAAGAATATTTTAACATTCTCAATGCCATCAATACAAAAGCCTGTGCAAGGAAATAAAATAAAATGTAATTTTTAAGGTTCTTTTTATATAAAAAATTAAATACTGTGGAATCCTGAAATTGGAGGTATAGACATGTATTTTCTTAAAACATGGCTAATAGAAGGGAGCATTTTTTCAGCAATTAGCAAGTTTGGATTTTTTTAGTTTAAACAGAAAATTTTAGTCTACAGACCAGATTATTCATATCTTGTAGTCCAGTAACAATCCGTAATCGGGTAGTTGTAGATTCCTTGGCAAAAGAAAAGGGGTTAATCCAATCAGACTTGCTTGGTTACCCATTTGTTACTTGCTTTAAATTCAAGCAAGTGCACTATTATTGGTTCATACTAGATACATCCTGGGGGACTGCCTACCTTTTTTCAACTACCAAGAACTGAACTTGATAAGGGACAGAATTTGATTCAGCCATCATTCTTTCAGTAACACTTGTTGATGATTCATATGGTATTGAATATGACAAGCCATCTAGACTTCTTTTAAATACTTCAACAGTGCACTAAGTTTTCAGTCCATTACTTAACAGTCTTGGCCTATTAACCCATCTGCCTTGGAATGATCTATTTGGCTAGTGGCCGCAAAGATGGGATTATTGGCGACGATCTGCAGTTTACCCATTTGTGCCTGGTTCATTCAGTAGTTTGCAGATATTAGGCACCTAAGAATTTTATTTTGTTGTCATTATAAAAACTTAAAAAGTGAATATTTAACCTCCCTTTACGTACCAGTGCCATAACGTTTAACCATACGATTGTTGCCAGTGCTAGAGGAGATAAGGCAATAGCACGGGACTGGTAAGCTATGGTGCCAAACATCGTTAGGTCCACAATTTGCCATGGCAAGAATGTGCCAGTTGGGTTAATGAAGAAATAATTAACCCAGAACAATAAAACATTCTTCACTGTCTAGGAGAATTAGGTACTTTGATTCCCTTCACTTGGATTTGGTGCTTTTTTTAATGAACTTCCATAACTATATAATGAAGTATCTTCTTCTTTGTCTTTTAAAGAGAAAAGTTTAAGTTGTTTTAGCAATAACCAAGACCTGAAATGCTGTTTAATTTTCAAATAAAACTTTAATCCTGTTAAAGTGGTATCCTTTCAGAAGACTCTGATATTCTAATCTTCAAATCTCTAATGTTTTCCAATAGTAGCAATAAAAGTTCTGGATTATTTGTCTAAAGTTCTCATCATTAATCACCTAATTACATTTTCTCAGCAGCTAAATGTGATGACTATAGTTTATATTGTTACTCATAAACAGGTCTAGGTCTTTTACATCTATTTTTCTTTAATCTCTATTCCTTTCTTGGTCCTGGAGTTGAATTACCTTGATTTCAAATACATCAGTACTGAAATTCATATTATTTTCACTTGCCCTTTCATATGTAGATCAAATCTTAGTTTGTCTTCTTCATCTATCAAACTTAATGATGTACTTATTCTTGCATCACAAGCAAAAGATGTTATAAATGAGTATTAAATATTTTCATTAATGCTTCCATCAGTCATAATGAGAAACAGCATGAAACCAAGAAATGAACTTTGTAGCACTTCACTTCCTACAATTAATTTATTAGAGAAATATCCCTCAGTAATTACTTTTTGTTTGCAATTTGGTATAAAACTGTGCATCCATATTCATACATTTCTCCACTTCCGAGGTCCTTTGTTTTACTGAGTAAAATTCTATAATCAACCTTATTGAAAGCTCTTGTAACATCTGATAACATCAACATCTTTATTCACAGTTACGTCTTTTAGTGTGTGTTCTCAGTGGTTCAGGAATTGAAACAGACCAGATCTGCCCTTTCAAATTTCTTTATCATGTGTGATGTTAGTGTTACTGGTCTATAGTTTTTAGCCTTACCTTTATTTCCACTTTCATAATGTTTAATTATTAAATTTTGCTAGACATCAAAGGTCATATCCACTTTTAGAGCTGGGAATATTCCCCACCTTTAGTGGACTATCAAAGGATTTCCTCTACATGGTTTTGCAATGTTTTCTTTACATTTCTTGATAACGATTGCACAAATTTCATCAGTTCTTGCTGCTTAGCTTGTTGTAGTGATTCTATTTGCAGAAAATAATAGGATGGCATAAAAAACAATACTTATGCAAAATAAATGTAAGGCAAATAATAGAATACATCTCTAACTTACAGTATTAAGTGTGAGATTGGCTCCTTGCAGAGCTAATCCACAACCACAGGCAAGCACATTTGC